TTCTGCTCACACAATTGCACTCCATTCTTCCACCTTCCTGGGGTTCTCCAGAACCACCTGATAGGGGCTGTCCTGATTTCTGAGGTGTGCTTCTCATCATGACTGCTTCGCTTTGCCCTTCTGACTTCCACGGCTCAAGATTATCTACCAAAATCAAAACAGAATGGCCTTACTCTTCCCAGGAAGAGGCTGGCGGGCAGGCTGTGTCATCGATGGCTCTGTGCCCAAGCGGGGTCAGCAGGGAGGGGCTGGGCACTGCGTAGCTTTTCCATCTGACCACAGGTCGACCCTCACTCGTGGCCTCAGAAAATTCACCCATCTTACGCAGGTGTAGACGAGTATGGCACAGTTTCAGAAAATACTGACTATATATACAATATGTGTATGTGTATTTCTATGAATGTGTTATTTTTTAAAAGGCTCATCTTGTAAACACAGACTGCTAAATCACTATTAAAAATGCATATTAAAGAGTCAGTATATACCCTTGGTCCCCATTCCCCCTACTCCTGCTCACAAGATTAAGACCAGTGTCACAAAATATGCAGACACATAAAGGCTGGCTTGTTACTGGAACAAAAGCTGTCATTCTCCCCCAAACGGCATCTTTCTTAGGTGCGGAGAATGATCAGTTTTCTCTTCTCATTGTTCTTGGAGCGAAGTGAGGTGAGGGTGACCACACACAGAGAAATGCCAGTCTAGTTTTGAAAAGATCACGAAGGATAACCTATGTTCTTAAGGCAGAGGACCAGGGAGCGCCCAGGCAGGTTCTTATCTATAAGCGAAGTGACTTTAACCAAACTGAGACTCCAAGGTCCTTTCGGATGCCACAAGTTTTTAGGGAATGTGAGTAAAGGTGTGAGGTCTAGACAAAGAATTGCAATAGGCACGCAATTCAGAATTAAGGCAGAGTTTTCCTAGCATCCTGGTGGAACACTTCTGCCAACGTGGGCATGACCGAACTGGGTCATGAGGGGTGTCCCAGCAGCGCCCACGCCCCTGGTCCTCATGCGGCGTGACAGAGAAGCCAGTCTCCTATAGCATCAGTATCTCGGGGAGCCTGCTCCCTCCTCACCTGCCTGCAGGCCTGAGGGCAGCAAGGGGGTTGTGGCCACTGCTGTGCACACGGGATGCCTGGCACTTGCTGAGTCCAACAGCCAGTTCCTGCCACGTTCAGCGGCCAACACACTCCCTGGCAGGAAGCATTTCTTATGTATAAGAAATCCCCATGTGATAAACCAGCATTCACTCATTTGGCCCTTAAGGCACAGAAAAGACAACTAGCTCAGACCAGCTTCCCGGCTGCCTCTAGGAAACAGGCACGAGGTCAGGTTTTGGCACTAGCGCCTAAATTAGGCATCTCTCTCTCTTTTTTTTTTTTTTGATTTACTCCAAATGAATGGTCTACAGAGGTACCTATTATTTTATATAGGTTTTCTCTGGCCAGAAACTACCTCCTAACTGCCAATATCCAAGTTACCCCCGCCTGTAGAGATGAGAGGTGACAGTTTGCTCTGATTACAATGAAGCAGCTAACTGATAGTCCAATCTTTTATAGCAGACACGAACTTTTACCAAAATTACTGAAATGGCACCTCGGGAGCGTCTGAGCACTTTGAACCCAACAGCTGGGCGGATGGATGTATCTGTGCCCCCTGCACCTGACTCCGAATGCCGTGGTTCCTGGAAGATGCAACTTCAGGTAAATAACTGGGAACTTTTTAGGGAGCCGAAGCTCTTTATGGCTGGTTAGGGCCATGAGAACCCAAAGGCAGGAACTACTGTTTTATAGCTAGGCTTTAAGCTAATAGGTGTCTTCAAATTTATAATTAGTGTTGTTTTTTGTTTTGTTTTGTTTCAGGCTTTTGTCATAAGGTGCATGTGCTCACTGGAGAGACAGAAATAGAGAGAGGGAAAGCGAGAAATCACCCTTCCAGGGGGATGGCCATACTGTAATCCCTTCTACTCCATTCTCCTCTCTGGATTTTGGGCACGCACACACATGCACCCTGTCCAGGACAGTTTAAAGGTGTGATTTTTTTTAAGGGTCCAGGACTTGAACTGCAGTCAGACATGTGGGAGTCCAGAGCCTTAACCATTACCCCACCTACCGGCCCCTAATTAGTATTTTAAAAACTCTGCTGTCCAACACTAAAATGTTAACTTCACTCGTTGGCGAAGTTTTTGGCAATCTGCCTGTCAGACGTCAGACAGCAGAGCCCAAGGTGCAATCACAGAGCCAGTCCGGGAATCTGGGACACTGCCCGTCGTGCACTGAGGACCCTCATAACAGCTCCCCCTTTTACAGCTAGACATGCTTGCTAGACTGTTTCATGCTCGGTGAGAGAAAGAAACCAAACCACAGTCCATCCTTTCACACGTGAATCTCGATGGACATAGAATAATGATCAGGGGAGACACCCCATGCCAAGGCCTCATGAGTCCCAAGGCAATGCCCAGCGGCTCCTCCTCCCTGACCCCAGGAGCGGACTCGCCACTGCTTCTGCCCCTAATGGGCCTCGGGTTGACTATCTGAGAGGCTTTCTCACTGCAACTCACAGGAGGATACTTGAAGAATCAGAAGATACAGAGGCCCCAGCAGCCACGCAAGGAGAGAATCTTTTCTCCAAGTGTGGACGCTGTAAGAAGCCATGCTCAGAGTGTGGCCAGCCCAGGGGCCCTCACTACAAGAACAGCCCCAGCAGGCACTCAGGTGAGCTCACCCCGCAGCCCCCGTTCCCCACATGCCTACATCTGCAAGCGAGGCTCGTTCGGGTCTGCCCTGCCAGAGCCAGACAGGCGTGAGGTTGAGCAGCCCCACTTAGAGTACACAGGCCTGTTAGGTCACCATGGCACCAGAAAGGCAGCGGTCTGCAAAAGCATCCTTAGGAGCCCCAGGACAGTACAAGGTGCACTCCTACCTAAGAGCAGCAAGGTCAGAGCTACAGAAGCAAACAGTAAGGGTCCCGCCTCTCAGGCAGTGAGGCCACCTGGCTCCTAGGATTAGTATTTGGTTACTTGAATGCTGTCAGGGTTGAGCCCGACCCCCGGGGGCTGGCCTGTAAGCTCAGAAGCGCACAGAACGGTGAATGAGCTGTGGCTTTCTGGATATTAGAGAGGGTTAGCTGGTCTCGACTAGGAACAGGGAAGGTCCTTCGCCTCTTGCACAAGGTGAAGGGTTCCCGCTAAGGGAACAGACTGGGCCGCTCTGTCACGGCTTCCTAATGCTCACAGGGGGGAATTCATTCTCATCATCAAGACACACTGGTCCCGTCGCAAACTCGTGTTCGGGAATGACCTCTCCTCGGAGCGCCCCGCCGTCCTCAGAATAACCTGGAAGCCAAGAAGGAGAAATGAGAGAAGCCACAGGGTCTGTTATGGCCATGACCTGGGAGCAAGACTTGAGAAAAGGGAGCCTGAAGAAACATAGAGGCTGGATTTGCCTTCGACTAGAGCCTGTGCTTAGCTGAGCCCAAATCTCCACTTTTCTCGGGATCTGAGCCTCTGAGACACGCAGGTGCAGGTCTCGCCAACCATCCACCCAGGGAAGTGGATTTTCCACCTTTCTGGAATGCCCTCCCTGCCCCCTGTAGCCCTTCGGGCCCACCCACCTGGCACCGTGGAGGCTGAAGATGTGCTTGGTCTGGCTACCGTTGCTGCGTAGGACTGAGGTAAGGAAGGTCTGAGGTCATTTTCTTTATTCTCTTCTGTTGTTCCTGAGCCGAGCAAGCTGCTTGTGGCAATTGGGAGCGGGAGGAAAAAAGAAAAGGAAATCGACATAGATCTAGAAGACCTTGGAAAGGAAAAGCACGTGGAAACTCAGGCTCGCTCACTTGGGCTTAAATGCTACTCCTACCAGGGCCCTTAAACTACCAGCGGTCAGTCACACTGCTGCAAAAGGACCCTCTTATGTTTGCCGAGCAAAGATCGGTCCTCTGCTCGTCCTGGGATGAGGAAGCAAGGACACTGTGATATGTGAATAGGGGGCGTGGGCCCGGGCGAGGGCCAGTGGCAGCTCCTGGAGTCCTGTCCACAGCAGGCAGCGAGGGCCGCCTGCTCGCTCACAGCACCTGATGAGAACTTCTGCATTCAATGTGGGGAATGTTTTAGAAACCCGCCATGTACTAGGGCTGTGCCAGGAGGGCGGGCCAGGAGGGAGACATTCCATTGTGAGCGTTCCCCCATCCTGGCTCTTGTCTAGATGAGTAGGGCATGCTGAGGGCACCTGCCAGGAGCCCAACGCAAACCAGGTGCCTGCCTGAAGTCTGCCACGAGACCGCGGGGAGGACGAAATAAGAAGGGCACTGAAGCTCGTCATCACGCTTGGTGCAGCGACAGCTCTCCACGACAGACTCCTGAAAAGCTCTTTTGAGAGCTAGTATCTTTACCTGTGGGTTTTTATTAAGACACATTCTCCTCCATCTTGGGGGTCCAGATTATAGATATACAGGTGCCCATCAGACGACGCAACCAACAGTCTCGGCAGCTTCTGGATCCTGTGGTCAAACGAGACAGGAACTGTGATTACAACGAAGATGGATGACAGACTCGCTTCAGCTGACCAAGCCTCGCTCATCCTAGCTGTCCCCAATGTCTGCTCATGCCATCGACAAGACCTTGGCATCCCAGTCCAGTCTGGGCTTCTGGCTCTTTCTTTACATACTGAACTACCTCACGGTGTTCTTTCAGGATTATCTCGTCTTCAGATGTGACCGTCTGAAGAAAGCTAGTAAACGCTGTTAGGCTATAAAGCGGTGACAAACCACAGCCTGCCGAAATGGGACACTGCCTGCCTCCAGTGTGTGTCCGTCTTCACGGTGACAGGAAGGGGAAAGTGCACCATTAGCTCACTGCCTTTGCTGGGTAGTTTCGTGACGTGTTTTAAATGCTCAGCTCCTTTAATTAACTCCGTTTAAACTTCTTAGATGAAACATCTGTCAGCCTCACAGGTATCAACCAAGACCATGGAAACTTAGAGGCTTTTTATGTAATTACATGAAAATAGAAATTATTTGCCAGACAATGTCATTATAACGAGAAAGTTAAACCCGCATGCCAGCTGCCCTCTGAGGACCAATATTAAAATCAGATGGGAAAAGCAGTTCAATTCTGCTCACTTTTTTTTAACTTAAAAAAAAAAACTCAATTATAAGAGAAAATGGTATAATATTTCATAATACCATTTTCTCTTGCCATAAAAGTAACGACTCATTTCTTTTTCTCTTATACTCTTCTTTTTAACCCTCTTGTTTTCCCTTTTTGCATTCCATGCCTCTGGGGATTTGGTGCTCTGGGAAAATCCACCTGTGAACGCGTGTGTGTGTTCGGGCGGGGGCGCTGTACATACGTGGAGAGGGTACAGATGTTCCTCTGCCCAGAGAAGTTCAGCCGCCCAGTGGCAAAGGCTCTGCCCTGGTTCATCATGTCTGACACCTGGGCGGGGAGGTAGTTGGTGGCGGCCATGAACATCTTTCCCATGTAGCCGCTCCAGGTCGAAGGCTCTTCCGGTCGGCTAGGGGGACAGTGCACAGGTCAAGGTGGGACAGAGGGACAGGCACCGCATCCACCCCACACCCTGCACACCCAGGCGTGGCTACTGGGCTCACACTGCAGGGGGACAGTGTGCCTTGGCAGCTTGTTCTGCCCACTGAGAACAGTTCTGCCAGAACAAGAGAGCACCGAGGGCCCGTTTGTCCTCCAGCAGAGCCATTGGAAGGCCGTTAAGAGGTGCCCAGGGCTGCAGCCTTCCTACATGAAAGATGCTGTATCTGATCGTTAGTCTGATTCCTAGATTTCTGAAAGAGGACTGGGGTAGGGAACGAGATGGAGTTGATATCCGGACTCTGTAAGATCAGCTCAGACCCGCCTGGGCCCACGGAAGAACAGACAGAACCCAGTGTGAAGGCCTCCAGAGTCAGACTGAGTGGGCAGCACACCGCCTGGCAGGACAGGGCAGTGTCTGGTTACAGTTCTGGAGCCCCTTGGTACAGAGGTGGGGTGATTCAGAGACCTGGCAGGTCCCTGCTGTCATTCACCCAAGGCCTCTGCCAGCCAAGGGAGTGACTGTTAGTGAGATACCCCTTTGTCTCTGTGTCCCCCTGCGGCGGGCAGTACAGAGGACAGCGGTGCCACCAGCCTTCCCAGGAACCCTGCTGCACCCACCTGTGTGCAGGACTAGCTCCCCGGGGAGATCTAACCCTGCACCTGTGACGCCCTGGAGATGATTCTCACTCTGCTACCCCCTGGCTGGGTGGTCTCTGAACACACCTCTCTGGGCTCCCATGTTCTTATGTAAAGGCGACCCTTCTAGGCACTGCTGATTCTGTGGTCTGAAACACTGTGAAAGACAGCTGTGCCCCAGAGCCCTGTGCTGTGGGCTGGGAGTGCGTCGAGGTGTAACGTCCAGACCCTGCGATCACGTGCAGACAGAGTGCACACACAGACAGAAACAGCTCGCACGGTTAACGTGGGGGCCACACTGCACGGGCAGGAGCACTCCGGGGCCAACGCAGCGGAGGGAGAGGCGCCCAGGTTCTTCACACCCTCAGTTGCACGATTTCCTCATTCAGAAATCAGGGATAATCGCGGAGCTTTCTGACAGGGCTGCTGGGGTGACGAGAGAGGCTTAGCACGGAGCCAGCACACCGCAAACGGACTTCATGGGCCAGGGGTCTCTGGGGCTGGAGGGGTGGGGAAGGTCCTGGGGGAGATGGCTGCTGGGCTCTGCAGGCAGATCTGGCCCTAGAGAAGCTGGGACTTCCTAAGGACAGAGACGAATAAAGATTCCTACGGAGGAGGTGTCATGTTCAAAGCAGCGTTTTCAGAAGATTAATCCGGCAAGGAGATTTAGGATGGATTGG